ATTCTGTTTAATGTGAGTTTGAATGTCAATCCAATAGTTTATGCGATATTTAGAACTCACAGCTGATTCGTCTATTCGATAATAAACAGACTATGTTGTGAAACATGAGGGAAATGAGGTAGGAAAAGAAAAATAGCGGTACTGTGTTTTCGTGGCCAGTTTAAAAGTGATCGTTAACAGAATTAGTAATCGAAGCCTGCTTGAGAAGATTATTGCAGTATTTTTCAATGGCTTTGTCACCTGGAGATCCGCACTCTTATGCAAGACCAGGTATTTTAATTATTTAACTACAATATAAATGATATTAAACGTTATAAATTAATTGTTAAAGTTTTTACTTGGAGAAAATAGGAAAGTCTTCTTAGTTTATTTGTTATGTCTGAACGACGAAACTGTTGCATGTATTTTCAGATTAATAATTCAAAATGTCAAATCACAATTTTCAAAATTGAGTCATTATTTCATGTCTATTATGAAATTGCAACATTTCGACTTCTTATACTTATATTTAAAAAAAAAATTTTATATTAAATGTATAAAACATGTTATGTCTTGTCTCGCACTTATGCTTATTACATATTCTTATTTATTATTTAGATATATTTATTTTCTATCTCTTTCTATATCTTTTTAATCATCAGAATTGGCACGTGTAACTCATACTCATTTAGAATTGAATGTGGACTTTGGTCTAAAAGTTCTTCAAGGAAAAGCGATCTTGGACATTGAATGGGAACCTTCAAGTAACGAAATAGTAAGTAGACATTTCCATCTATATTGTGCCAAAGTTTTGATAAATATGTAATATGAAGTAATTAGATTTTAGATAGCTACGGACTTGTCGTATCAAGTGTCACAGATACACTTACTCAAATTAATTTAGAACATCAAGTTGGACATTGTGGCACACTTGGAAGTAAATTTGCTATTCAGTTACTACAAAATGTAAACTATTGTAATAACCGGTAAATATAAAAAAAACTGTAAATTAAAAAAAAATACATATATTAAAAAATATTTAATATACAGGGTAGCGATCATGTAACTTTTTCCTTAAAGCAAAAACGTGAAAAGTGAAAAGTTTCATGTAACTATCTCTTTCTATTGGTGTTGAATAGAAAGAAATACATTTTTCACTTTTTACGTTTCCGTCCTAGGGGAAAAGATACATGCTCGATCCCCAAATATTAAAAATTATAGATGCAAGTAATTGATATACACATGATAACATAATGTTTTCAGATGTAGGATTCAAATTGAATATAAAACAAGACCAAGCTCTCCTGCATTATATTGGCTAACACCTGAGCAAACTGCCAATGGCAATTATTCCTTTTTACTGTCTAACAACAAGGTAAACTGGCTGAATAAAGATATTTTTCTATATCAACGTAAATTATATAAAATCTCTGTTTTTTTCAGCTAACATACGCTAGAGCATGGTTTCCATGCCAGGATACACCATCTATCAAAACTACGTACTCTGCTATGGTAAGAGAGAATTTAAACAAAGACTTGTATTTATTTATATACGTAAAGAGACACAAACACGTCCTCCTAATTTCTGATTGAATATTATTCATATTATTGATACGAGTAGATGTAATAAAAAATTAGTGGATAATATATAGCATGTTTATAAAGACAACGTAATTGTATATTTACAAAAATATTTACTAAATTTTCTTATATGTTACCGTAATTAAATTGAAACAAAATTTCTCTATTTAGTTTTTGTCGATATAAATTTTATATTTATTAGATTGTAGCACCAATGAGTTACACAGTTTTAATGTCTGCGTCTTCAGTAACTAAAATTCCGACTACCTACAAAAGGATGATATACAAATTTTCTCAAAAGATACCAATACCGTCTTATGCGGTGGTTATTGCTGTGGGTGTTTTAGAGCACGATACATTTTCGCACACATCAAAGATCGGTGTGTGGGCCGAAAGAAAGTTTCTTTCTTCAAGTAAGCAGACATTTCTAATATTAGAAACTGAAAATATGCTGCAGATTGCCGAAAGTTTGTGTGGATCTTATCCCTGGGGTAAAATATTAACCAAGTTATTTGTTTTTTATATATGGAATGTGTTTTATTTTATATTTGTGGATTACCAATTTTATCCTCTTTTATTATTATCTTACAAAATTAAAATAATATTTGTAGATTCACTTAATATATGCGTGCTCCCACCAAGTGTCTCACATTTCGAAATAGAATGTCCGTGCTTAATATTTGTGTCGGCTACTTTACTTGGCGGAGATATTTCTTTGGTTTGTTCAATCGCCCGGAACATTTCTCAGAATTGGACAGGAATTTTAGTTACGTGTGCAAATTATAAGCATTTGTGGCTGAATAAATCTTTTAGTATGTTTATTTATAGAGAAATTCTACGCGTTTTATTTGGTGCTAGTCAGATGACGGAATTTCTTTTCAACAGAGATTTGGACGATTTAAGAGCTATGGTAAATTATTAATTAATTGTTTGATTTGATAAAGATACAGAAATAAATAATGTTAAACATATTGCTAGATGATAATGTTTAACATAATCTATAACACACACGCACGCACGCACGCACTCACACCTGTATTCTACTGCATAATTTTCTAAACCTGTATTATTTATACAGGTTACAATTTTTGGCAATTTTGGTCCGCTGGAACGCTTATTACCAACCAGTTTGATCGGTTTGTCGCCCGATGAGGGCACTAGATTTGTACCTTATGAAAAAGGATATATGTTCCTGATTGAACTACAAAATATCTTGGATAAACAATTTTATGGAAATTTTAGAGCATTTTTAAAATTTTATTTGACTAAATTCTCGCAAAAAAGTATAAATACTAATGACTGGAAGTCATATTTGTATAGCTATTTTCCTAAAAGATTACTTGTAAGTAACGTATATTTTATGAGAACAAACTGAGTTTCTTCAATATTGTTACTTTTAGTATCATAAATAATATAAATTTTATGTTTTTCAGGAGTTAAACTCTATTGACTGGAACTTTTGGTTCGATGATCCAAACAATTACCCGCCAAGATTGTTTGATACAGCAAACACCAAACTGGAGACAGTGTGTATCTCCTTAGCGGAACGATGGATCAATTGGGATGATGCTGCTGATTTGCAATCAACGTTTGGCAGCACTGATATAAAATATTTCTGTCATCGTCAGAAAGTATATTTTTTATACTACCTACATGCATCGCATACGATTTTGTCGGTAAAGAAGATAGAGTCTATGGCACAATTGTATCAATTCAATTATCAGAATGATGAAATACGGTAAATACGCGTATGTAAATTCAAAATGATTTATTCTTGCTTAAAGTGACACGCACGTATCTCGTAGATTTATTTGGCTGCGCTTGTGCATCAAAAGTCGATGGAGAATAATGGTTCCAGCCGCTTTAATTTTTGCTATTAAATTTTGTTCGCCAAAGTTTACTTATCCTATATTTCAAGATTTATACAAATGGTCGGATGTACGTGAAA